ACATGAGTTTTGGGGGCCAGGGGCAGAATGATGGAGTTTGGATGTGTTGTCCTGTCCAAAACTCATGTGGAAATTTGATTCCCAATGTTGCAGTATTGGAAACTGATTGAGTCATGGGGGCGGATCCCTCATGAATGGATTAATGCTCTCCCTGGGGGAGGAGGGATTAATGAGTGAGTTCTTGCTCTATTAGTTCCTGCGAGAGCTGGCTGTTTAGAAAGACCCTGGCACCTCCTCTCTATCTCTCTTGCTTCCTCTCACCATGTGATCTGCTTGTACCCACCAGCTGCCTGCCACTTTCTGCCACAAGTAGAAGCAGCCCGAGGCCAGTGCCAGATGCAGCTGTCCCAGAATTGTAAGCCAAATAAACCTCTTTTCCTTATAAATTACCCAGTCTCAGGTAATTCTGTTATAGCAACACGAAATGGACTAATACAGTGAGGGAGCCATGCTTCTGTCTGAGGGAAGGGAACATCAGGCAGAGGGAACAGAAAGTGCAAAGGCCCAAAGGCTGAAGCATGACTGACATGTGGAATGAGAGGAAGGAAGGTAACAGGGGATGATGTCAGAGAGTGGATGGGAGAGGAGTGTGGGTCATGAAGGCTCTGATAAGCCCTAGTAAAGGTTTTGGATTTAAGTCATATAAATGGGGAGCCACTGAATGAATTTGAGGAGAGAATTGACATGATGTGACTCATTTGGAAATTATTACCTAGTCAGGTGTGGTAAGTTGACAGAAAGCAGGCAGGTGAAGGCTCATTAAGAGGCTATTGAACAAACCCACTGAACTGACCCAGGTGAGAGGTAATGTTGGCTAGGAGTGGCAGGGGCGGGGCGGTGACAAGAGTTTGGATTCTGTTTTGAGGATAGAGAGTCAACAGTGTGTGCTGACAGTTGGGTGTGGCGTCTAGGAGAAAGAGGAGTCAAGGGGGAAAGAGATTCATCATGACTAATGTCCCTCGAGTGGTTGCTGCCAGGCAATGTCCACGCATTAGCAGGTTCTGCCTGTTCTGCTCAAGGTTTCTACTTTCTTGTTTCTTGTTCTTTTCCACCAGAGACTCTGGTGTGTGCTTTCATAAATTGGAAGTGAACAACTAATTCTGTGAGTTAAAGAAATTCCATTTCAATATGCTAAATAAAAGCTCAGCCATTGGTTAGTTTGTCTATTTGATTGAAGACATGAGAAAAAAAAAAAGAAAAAAAAAAAAAAAAAAAAAAAAAAAAAGAACAGAGAGGGCCGGCCTGGTGGTGCACTGCTACAGTGCGCCGCTTGGGAGCGCGGT